CCAACAAGACCACGTGGTCTCATCCTAATGACAACCAATATCCACATGTTTTCTTTCTTTAAACTCCACAAACATGCTGATGTAGCTATAAATACTTGAGACACACAACACTTAATTGTGTGGTCCACAATATTTCATCTTGAGTTCAATCTATCATACAGCTGTTAGGATAACATTTTTAGCATCATTTGCCATATCTTTTTTTGGACACTTTCGATTGTTGCAAGAAGCAAAGGTGTGAGAAATTCTGCAAATTTCTTAGCTCTTCATTTTTGTAAAAGCCAAACCACCAATACTGGGATCATTGAATTTTCAAATGTCGATTTTCTTAAGAACATCAAGCTATAGCTATGGATATCGAGTTTATAGTAATTTTCACAGAAATCCTTCCCCTTCGACAATGTAAGTCCATTGAATTCATTTCATGTTGATCCAGATTGATCTTGTAAAGGATCTGACTAAAGGATTACTTCAATTTTTCTAATTGAGCTGCATAATATTAGTGGAAATTCCATCTCTCTACAATTAAACCTAAAGTGAGGTGCATTCTAGTATGGGAGCGAACCCTGTATTATTCTAGCGAACTAATTCCAGAAAATTATGTTAATCGTACTCAATTCGGACTTTCTGTGGTTTATGAGTGTCTAAAGAATAAGTTGGAGTTCTATTAAAGCTAGCTGAATGAAGAATGAGCTAACTTTTCTTTGAACTGGCAGGAAGAATGCCAACTCTATCCCTTCAAGGACGAAAAAAGAATTATCAGAAGAAATTCAGAGACTTTCGACTCCTCATGTTCAAACATTTAGGCATACAAGCCCCAAATTTGACAAACTGCAGCCAATAGGTGAACTTGCAATTCATGAAAACAGAGTCAAGATTGGGCAGTTTGTCACACGTGAAGCTCTACTTGATGAGGAATTTTGGGTTAGATGCATTTTCCTGGATAAATTCCTTCAGGCCATTAGTTTCATATGGCTTTTTTCAGTTCCACTCATTCATTAATCCAGTGGTAGCTTTGTGTAGACAGCAGCATGGCTACGAGCAGAGACTCATTGGGAGGATCGGGAAAATGACAAGTATGTATGCATCTTAGTACTCGTTCTCGTGATTTCCAATGACTAAAAAACTTCGTGTTACCATGTTTAGTAAAATTTCTTATATAATGCTAAATAAACAATATTAAAACAGAAGAAGAATCTAAAATTTTATCTGTAATGTGAGTAGTTTATCCATAAAAGGAGAAATGATTGATGATTACCACTCTAAACCTAACAATGCAGATATGCCGACAACTACAAAAGGAAATTTACAGAACAGGTAAGGACAAATACCATTAATTTGAATTGGTCAATGTGCAATGATCATAATTCTTCGATTGTGCAGGCATTCAATGAACTGAAAAAGAGATGCAGAACACAGCTAGGAGAGAAATCCATCTGCATAGTAATGGTACTATTACTAATCTATTACATTTTGTAACTTGTAGTAAAAATCAGCATTGTGTTTTGTGCGACAATAGTGATGAACAATATGGAATCAAGAAAGAAAGAAAGAAAGACAACACAATATTAACATGGGTCGACATAGGCCTATGTCCACGGGAGTGAAACGGCTACGATTTTGTTATATG